AGCTTGAATTTGCATATGAGTAGTTGGTGGTCTGTTCCACAATCAGCTCCTGGCCTAGTTTTCACAGCTGATATTGAGCTTCTCCAGCTGTTCTTTCCACGGATGTAATCGATCTGATTCCTATGCATACCATCAGGTGAAATCCAGGTATATAACCTGCGTTTATACCTCTTAAAAAATGTATTTGCTATGAATAAGTCATTGCTATGAACATAGGTGGACAAATATCCATTTGTATCTCAATTCTGATTTCCTTGGGATATATTCCCAGCAGTAGAATTTCTGGGTCACATGGGATTTCTAAGTTCAGATTTTTGAGGAAATGTCAAACCACCTTCTATAGCAGTTGTAGCATTTTACAATCCCAAATGTTCATCAACAAACGAATGGATTAAAAAATTATGGTACATTCACACAATGGAATACTATGCAACACCAAGGAGCAATAATTTTGTAAAATACTATATAACATCAGCAAGACTAAAGCATTATGCTGAATGAAATATGTCAGTCACTTAAGAACAAATATTGCACAAGGCCACTACTGTGAAAACAGGAGGATAACTGAGTAAGATATGTATAAAATACTCAAAAGGGAATGGAGAGGACAGAAACAGGAAGGGGCGGGGAAATTACAGCCTATAACAACACTGCTGGCACACAATAAGGACTCAATAAATATTTGTTAATCTTAGGTAGAACTAAAAATGTATTGTCCTCCAGTCAACTCAGATTCACAGTAATTCATGCATATCAGAGTAGAGCACTAGGCTCCAGGGGCCTTTAATGGTTGCTTTCTAAGATACAGGTCTTTCTTCCAAGGTGCCTTTGGGTGTACTAACAGGCAATCACTTGGTTAGATGCGAGCACAATGGCCATTTGCACCACCCAGGACTCCAATCTAAAGCACAAGGTACCTTAACTTCACATGGCTAGGACTGGGAGGTCTGGAGGCCTACTGATAAGGAGTTGTGTTGGTAACCCAAAGGTTGTTGCGGTTGTTGTTATGTGCCGTCGAGTCGCCTGCGACTCATAGCGACCCTATGTACAACAGCCCTAAACTCCGCTCTGTCCTGTGCCAATCGCACTGTCTCTGACACTCCCATCCCAATTATCCCAGTCACCGAATCAATCCATCTCATAGAGGGTCTTCCCCTCCTGCGCTGTCCCTCC